CGTGGTGGTATAATCACCCTACTCTCTCCTTTACTTTCCCGCAAACTAGTTGTCAAGCTCTTTAGTGTAGCTAGTCTTTGAGAGCTTGTTAGTTTGGTTAGTGTGGCTCCTTAGTTAGCCCGTGAAAGCACACTAGCTTAGTGAGTAGTGACTTAACCATTGTGTGTGCTAGTGACCATAGCAACTAGAATTGTTGGAATTGGTGGATTGCAACCCTTGTAGAGCTAGAGCAAAATTGCATTGTACCATTTGTCTTACTAATCAATTTGCCTTAGTGCTTTGTAGAATTTTAAATGGGCTATTCACCTTCCCTCTAGCCATATTAGGACCTTTCACCAAGCTAGCGAAGGCCACAACCCCAACGCAAGGGATCATGGCCACAGTCTCCACAAGCAGCAAGGCGATCGACTGCGTGGGGGTGGTTGCCAACTCCTGTACGACGCCCCCAAAAGACCAGAAGACGATGACGAAGACCATGTTGCATAGGACGGCTGGCGAACTACCGCCGTGCCAATAGTGTCACCGTGATCGGCACTATAGGCTACGCCACACCATGCCGCGACATAGGCACAAGACCATGACAACAGCCATGCCCGAACATACGACTCAAGATGGCGTACTTGCAAGCCAAGTTAGTTAGGACCACCTCTATATGTGCCCTGGCCCCAAACTCTATATAAGGGCAGCCAGGGCACCCACTACATTCTCGATAGTCAGACTCCTTATGCTTTCAGGCAGTTCATCCATAGGCTCTAGCTCCATCTCCTACCTCTTTACCATTCTTGCACCCCCATTGTAAGAACTTCAGAGCATTCAAACGAGGAACATGCACTCGATCATCTCTGAGACTGGACGTAGGGCTCTGGCCTGAACCAGTATAACTCCTCGTATCTTTTGGATGCTAACATTGTCTTCCTAGAGCAGCACGACATACGTACAAGTTTACTAGCCGGTTAACAAAACACTGACACCATGACAGGACGGGAAGTCCTGCATAGGAGGTGTACGTATGGACCGTTGTTCTCGATGTCCTCCTGACCCAAGCTTGCTGGCTACCGCAGCTCCTCACTAGGTAAGCCATGGCCTTCGGCGACGTTGTGTTTAAGTGTTCCAGTCATTTTCAGACATGTTACAAGCCTATGTTTCAAGTATTTCAGATGTATGTTTAAAGTGTTTCATACGAAATTATGGGTGTTGCAAAAGTAGATCGGGATGTTGCAATGGTTGCACACGTATGTTGCAAGCGTCTGTTCCCAATGTTTCATCTGCTTTTTAGACTTATGTTGCAAGTGTATTTATCTAGATGTGGCATATGTTTTAAACATATGTTGCAAGTGTTTTATCTTAATGTTGGGTACGTTTGCAATGGTTTTCCAGTGTTTTTGAGTGTTTTTGCAAGTGTTTCCGATGTATGTTGTAAGTGTTTCAGCTGTTTCTGACTTATGTTGCATATGTGTTCATCTGGATATTGCAAAAGTAGATTTAGGATGTTGCACATGTTTCAATGGCTATACATGTATGTTTCAAGTGTATGTTCCAAATATTTTAGCTGTTTTAGACTTATGTTGCAAGTGTTTTTATCTGGATGTTGCATATGTTGCATCGGCCAGCTATACACATATGCTGCAAGCATATGTTCTAAATGGTTCATCTGTTTCAGACGTATCTATGTTGTAGCAAGTTCTTCATGTTTCAAGTGTTTCATGAGTAGGCGCAAGAAGCGGACGCAGATGGAGGCGGTCCCCATCATGCATGTAAGAAGTGAGGTGGGGGTGGGTGGTCCCCATGGAGCGGCGCAGGCATGCAGTAGCAAGTGCGGACAGGTAGGCGGACGATCAGCGCTGCAGGCCAACACCTGCGGGCGTCCATCTGGACGTCCGGGCACTAGCAGCGAATTATTTTTCTAGTCGTTTGACGTAGCGGAAGTTTATCATTGGTGTGTAAAATTGGAAAAAAATTGGGTGAGGACCATTCCTTCCAGGACATGGTGCGGACTGTTTGGCTGATATGTGGGTCACCGTATCATTTTAACCACATGCATTGTAATCAGATGCCTCATGATCCACATGTCCGCTGCACATTCGCACCGTGTTTTCGTAAGGATCATCACTACCGAATTTTTTTCCGCAAAATTAGGCCTAGCATGTGATTTGAACAGGCGCCACATCAGATAAAGTCGCAAACATTTTAAAAGTTACAAAGGAGGACAAAAATCCACCTTTATGCACGAGGGAGGAAAATCAGACTCCGTGAAATGCTGGGACGGGGGCAAAAGAATTTTCCCATGTTTCGAGAATAAAGAGGGGCCATGGGGCAAAGGAATGGGAGCTGAACCGTACGACGGATGATGGATAGCAACAACTAGAAGTATACCCGGCGCGTTGCCGTGTGATTTTCTTAAAAATAAATCTGTTATATACATAGCATTATTATATATATTATGTATAATGTGTATACACATATATGAATTTGACTTGCATATTATTTTATTGTATTAGATCAGGTAAAAAATTGGCAAGTTAATAGAAGAAAAACCAATAGAATATTTGGTTACATTGTAGACGAATGGGTGATGAAACAAATAGCGTATGTAGATGATTTGTATGTTAATAAATTAAAGATTTAAAGTATTTCACATGATAGAGATGACATGAACATTTTTTGTAATTAATAAGGGACGACGCGGACCTAGTGGAGAATGATGTGGACACCTTGCATGAAGAGATAGAACATTTAGTGGGGTCACTTAGTTGGAAATGATGTGGACACCTTACATGAAGAGAGAAATATCTAGTGGGGTTTATCTTGAACTAAAAAAAATAATGGGGTTTAGTTTTATAAGTGTTATAGTTTCTATAGCAGATCAATTTGCTACAAAAATCAACTGAAATCACAAAATCATAAGCCAGATGTTATTTAGAAGTTTCGAAATTTTAACAAGACTAGTAGCTTTTGGGCCAATTGTAAGCTCCATTTGGGCCTGCTACAGCCCTGTTTCACAAAGCCCAAATTTGGCCCGCAACAGAGAGCATACTACTACAGTACTACCACCACAGAGCAGAGGCAGTGGGAGCCAAGAAGCAGGAGAAGCGGCGCTTCTAGAACTGGAAGCGACACTGTCATCACAGGCGAAGGCGCCGGCACCAGCCGCGGCGCCGTCGTCGCCGATCGACGCCTGCTTCTTAAGCAAGTCCTGAACCTTAACACAAGTTTCCTTCTCTCTCTCTCTCTCTCAGTTCATTTTGCTCATATGTGTGCTTGCTCCTTTGGCCTTGGGTTTCTTGAACCGATCCGAGAAATTGCCTCACGCGTTTGTTCTTTGTTGTTGTGGTTTCATCTAGAATCGAGATGTTACGTTTAGGTTTTGATTGGATTTTGGTTTGATTGTAAGATGTACAGGTCATGGAAGAACCCTAGATCGATAGACCGTACCTGATCGAGTAGATTTTGAATGGGATTATGCCCCACGGCTAATGTGGGTACAATAAAACTATATAAGACACGGCTTTGATGTCTCTCATTTTGTGTGTGTATGTCACAGTTAATCTGAAAAAGAGCAGTATCAGTGCACGGGGGGGTTCTAGTTTTGTTTCGGATTCTAATTCTTATCATTGTTGTCAATAAATCTGGTAGTTTTCCTTGTAGCGGCTAGGTGTTTTAGCAGCCGTCATGACTCATGACTCATGAGGCTTGACTTTGGATCATCATTGATGTAATCCACTTTATATCCTGATGTTAGGGCTCAGCCCTCCTGGAATTCGGAAGTACAATACTTACTGTATATATTTGGCGTGTTACCGCGTATTTATTATGCCATTTGAACAAACGTTGCATCTTTTCTTTCACTCGTGTGGCATTTGTGCAGACTAGGCAAGTAGGAAGTAGAACTGGGAGCCTTTAATCTGGAGAACAAAAAAACAAAAAAAATCCTGTGTGTGTTATGTCAAATTTTGTGATTTCAGATGCCTGTAGGATAATATCTAGTAGGTAGTAGAAAGGCTTGCTCTGGCACCTAGTTCCTAGTTTCTTTTTAATTTTTCATTTGGCACACTTGTGTCTTTTCTTTGGTGCTCTGATTTCTTAATCCAAACCAAGCAAAGAAATTTCATTAGTATCTTGTTTCCACTGGATTCTGCTTCTGCTGTACCCTGGAATAGATGGACTTCTCATTGATCAGGTAGATTTAAGAAAATATATGCCCATGCCTCACATGGCTACGATAAAAGACACCAATTTTATGTTAGGTGGGGGTTCAGCTTTGGATCTTGAAGTATTTTCTGTATGCCATGGTTGATCTGTGAACGGCAGCACATAATTGGTCATTTTGCCATAGGTTTCACCTTTGTTTCATGCTTCACTAATGTGTAGGTCATCCTAAATATTATGTTCTGTAAATAGATATGGGTTTAGGTAGTTTTGAAGAAAAGTTTGAATTCAAGCAAAACTTAAAAACTGTATTTTTTCGATCTGTCTTAGCCTGAACATTAGGGTTCACCCAGCGCATATAATTTCTTGTCTGTAACAGTGTATAACAACTTAACAACTGGCTTCAGATCTGTACTGGACAACACATAAAGTTTAAAATGTTTGCATGTTACCTAAGTCTCTAGCAAGTTTACTGTCTATTTTTCATTTTTGATTCAGTTCTAACTTGTTCACCTTTTTTTTTTACTATGTTGTAGAGAGTCTGACATCATGCAAAGCCCTAGCAAAATCGGCGCCACCTCTGCCTCCACTACAGCCCCTGCTGTGTATGGACCTCAAGGGTGGGCAGATCTCCAAGAAGGTCTGCTCCATTCCGATCCATCGTTCCTCTGTTGAGCTCCTTCATTGAGCTCCTCAGCTTTGCTAGCACCTGCCGCTCTTGGCGTGCCGCTTTCGCCTCATACCCATCTAAATCCACATTCTGCACCCTGCTCCCGCCTCTCCTCGTCCAGCCCCATATCAGTGTATGTGCTCCTAATCTACCTTCCAGAAGTGACGATGGTCACAAGCTCGGCATGTGCCAGGTCCTTGATCCAGCCAACATGAAAAGTACCCTTCGCTGCCAGGTTCCTGAAGAGACATTTGAGAAGTTGCACTTTGCCGGCTCATCCTATGGGCAGCTGATTTGTGGCCACGGTAGAAATTGTCTTGTTGTGGATGTGTTCACTGGTGCCAAAGTTTTACCTCCACAGCTCCCATTTGGCGACAACACTTATTTCTACTCTGGCATGCTGTCAGCTCCCCTTGCATCACCAAACTCACACCTCCTAGTTTGCACAGTGTCCAAACAGGAGGGTCAATGCTTCTTGCTTGATTGGCTGATTGGGAGTGATTGTTGGTCAAAACTACAGCTCAATAATTCACAGATTGAACAGATTGTGGAGTTTAATGGTCAGTTAATTGCAATAGACAACCACTATAAGCTCCACAATCTGTCCTTGGCCCCCTAGCTTGGTCTGCAGGAGGTGGGATGGCAAGGATGAATGCCCATGTCTAAGGCCGTGGATCGCGGTGTGTGGTGACATGCTCCTGATGGTCGACAATTAAATAATCCTTTCGTCCAGTGGAGCACATGTCAAGTACAAAGCCTATCGCCTCAACATATCAACTGTGCCTGCAGCTTGGGTGGAGGTGAAGAAGCTAGAGAATTACTCGCTGTTTATTGGGAGTGATGTGAGGAGCTCGACGTTTTCTTGCGCCAGCTTAGGACGATGGAGCGGGAGGAGCAATTGCTTGTACTATGGGTATTACGATCCACCCTTGGTGTTGCATGGAATTCGTGATGATGCAGATGCTGTGTGTGATCCAGATTATGGCCCTGATGACCTTGTGTTCAAGAGCCTTGTGTTCAAGAGGAACTGGAACACCCGACTGCAGCCCTTCTGGGTGTACCCAAGCATGCTCTATCGCTGATGGCAAGTGATCTATGTGCTCCATCTTCCTGTGCTGAAAATTTCACCTTAAATTTCTTCGGAGATCAGAGGCTTGCATTTGCAATGGATAATGCACATTGTGGTAGATGAGAGTTCGCAGACTTGCATTTTAGTTTCCAGCTGTGCTCCATTGCTACTTTTAATCTTTTGAATTAGTTATGAACTTGTTAGCTATTCTGGAAAGCCTGGAAGGCTGGATACTGTTATTCGAATGAGTAGTAGAAAAACGTTTGTATAATGTGTCTGAGCTTCCTCCGTCCATGCAATTGCTTGTATGCAGGCATCTGGGGGTTGACTTGTGCTCTACAATCTATTTGTTTGAAGGGAAAAATATCGTTTTATGCAATTGCTTGTATGCAGGCATCTGGGGGTTGACTTGTGCTCTACTATCTGTTTGTTTGAAGGAAAAAAATATCGTTTTATGCTCGCCGGATATGAAGCAGAAATCCAAATGTCACTATAACACAACCCACCTTTGCCGACACTTTTTAAAGTGGGCAAAGGGTATCTTTCCCGACAGATAGCCTCCCACCAAAAGCTTCGCTGACAGTTTACAAACAGTCGCGTTAGAAGCAGTGGGCGAAAGTTTTGCCGACAGTTAATAGAATCACCGACATTTATCTTGTATCCAAATGGTATACCTACGTCGACAGTTGAAAGTTTTGCCGACAGTTGAACCTTTGCCGACAGTTAGACCAACGCCGACAGTTAGACCTTTCCCGACAGTTTATATGTTGGCGAAACTATTTCCAAGGCATTTTATGAAGCATACCCTCTGTGCCAACTAAACTGTTGGCAAAAGTATCTAAGAGATTTGGATATAATATATTTGATCCTCCATGTACAAAATACATCACACATTTTCACTTTTCTTTATAGAGAATACATCACATAGAGCAAATCCATTTGATTTCAAACATATAACATATTTGATCTTCCATACATACATCAATTGGATATATAGCAAGTGATTATCACAGTACATAGAGCCATCATGCATATACAGGTTCAGGATATAGATGAGCTAGTAGAAGACATAAATAGACATATACTAAAAGTCTTGTGCTAAGTGATTTTGGCTAAAGCTAAGAGATCAAATGATCATGACTTGGGCAAGTATTCTTGGACACTTGAAAAACTCCCTTGCTTGATGCACAGATGTGGTTTGCCACTTCTTCTTACGCATCATTACGATCTACAACTAGAATGAATGCAAGAAAAGGTGAATAAGTTTGGCAATGAGTTAGTTGAAATGCCATGTTTACAGAGCTCTGTTCTGCAATGCTCACATTTGGTCTTTGCCCTAGGATCTACAGAGGCACTGGGAGGCCCACTATCAAGATCGATTGAAATTTCCAATTTCATATGGACGCAGATAGATTAAACAAGCAGCTTGTTGCCTAAGCATCAACTCTAAAGGGTCTAATTGTTTAAGTGGAATTCATACATATGAAATCTACGATCAATTTAAATCTCAGTTGCCATACAGAGATCAGCTAAGTGAAACTCAAACTGAATGTGCTATCATGTTGGCCTCCAATTAACTGGTGATTTTGATGTGGCGTGCAATATCAGCAAGAAAAAATTGAATCTTATACAGAAAAGTAGTCTATTATAATAATGCAAATACAAAGCTATTTCTCTTGGATGTTCAGGTGTGATTGCATACTGAAATAGAGGGGTTTGACAGCAGACACATGATAAATGCACATCAGCTAAAAGTCAATTCACAGCAGAGCAGCAGCCACCTTTAGCATAAGAGTAGAACACTGAGGTATTTTATACAATTCAAATGTATTAAAACAATCATAGAGCTGTACTAATGTCAAATGAACACTAGCCTTTCCAGAAAAGAACATACCTAGGTGCGAAGCTTCGTGAGGAATTCCAGATAGTCTAATGCAGATAGCCGTTCCACAATTGTAGAATCTCTAGCTTATCTGAATTTACTCAGAAATACATATATAGCCATTCCTAAATCCTAATCACGAAGAAGCACATACATATAAAATCTACGATCAATTTAAATCTCAGTTGCCATACATATGTCAATGAATACTGAACATCACTATCTGAAATTTGGTAATGGCTGACAAAACTAATACAACATAACACAGAGTCCAATATTGACAATTAAAGACATGGAGGTGGCTTAAAGACCAAATAAACCTCCCCATTAGCTACAACCTCCATCAATCTTCCATGTGCAGTGTCCAGTGATCTTTACTTATCCTAATCTACGATCAATAAAACTAGGTCTTAAAATAATTTAACAACTTGATTGAGAGGGCATGTCAGCAATAGAACACATGGGGAAAACGGAACAGAATGGCAGCAGCTTAAAATCCTTGCTGCAGCTTTGATTTGAAACGAGAATTTAATGGAAAATAAAAATAGCAATGACAGCAGAGTTGTTATGTTATATTAGACAACATGATTTCGATGGTGACCTATGGAATAGCACATACTGAACTTGTGTAGTTCATCGAAGCTTTCAGAGCATATCAATTGCCTCCTTGTCTAGCCCCCGCCCCTGCTCCTTGCATGAATGATTAGCTCATATCTTTGAGCCTACATGTTCAGAAAACTGGTCAAAATAATAAACTGTTGTAGTGAGTCTGACATCCAAAAATATTATCAAAGGAAATAACTGTATTATCCTTTCTACAAGAATGCCAGGATGAACTACACAAGTTCAGCAGCTAACTTTATTACTTACGCATGTATAGCACTACCTTAAGCCTTGCTGATGGTTCCTAATGCAAAATCAGGTATACTATTTTTCATGTGTAGTCAACTTATTAGTCATAGGAACTGAATGGAAGACTCAATCTAAAGGGGAGGTAGGATAGGCATATGGAACAAAAAAATGAAAAAACAAATAGTCAGATCATACCCTAAAGGCCACATGTCAGGCACATCTTACCAAAGATAATTTGAGTAGCCTAATGTTTCCTAGGCCTTGTGTTATTTCATCAGATGTTGACTACAAATAAATTAGAAATGTCTGGCACAATTCATAGCAAAATTTCATGAGAAAACAGACCCTTGAGCTAAAATTCAATACTTCCTTTTAGTTTTAGTATTGTCACAACAGGGAAAGCTGAAAATAGTCCAAGATTTTGCATACTTTGACATATGTCAATGCATACAGAACATCACTATCTGAAATTTGGTAATGGCTGACAAAACTAATACAACATAACACAGAGTCCAATATTGACAGTTAAAGATATGGAAGTGGCTTAAAGACCAAATAAACCTCCCCATTAGCTACAGCCTCCATCAATCTTCCATGTGCAGTGTCCAGTGATCTTCACTTTCTCGAGCAGCTCTAGGGTTCCAGGTGATTTCCCCTCCTCAATAAACCAAACCTAGATCTAATAGGAGAGGGAAGAAATAAAATTAGATCTCAGATTTGGGACATGAATGAAAAAAGGAGGAAGTAAAACTACCTCTCACCGGCTTGCTAGAGATTCGATGCCGGCATGAACTTCTTTCACTGGTTCCTTCGGCCAGATCTTGGGGAGGGCGACGGATAAGCGTTGGGGGGCGAAGGCCAAGGGAAGAACCGAGGCCTCAGGAGTCAGGAGCCGTCGCCACGAGTGCGGAGTAGCGAAGAACGACGATATTTTGCTGGCGTGGTTAGGGTTCCGACGGTATTGTTGTCAGTGATGGACAATGGCGCTAGCATGGGAGGCAGCGGCGGGCGCTGGCATGGGAGGCGGCGGCGGTGGGAGGCGACAGCGGCGGTGGCTAGACCTGGCGTGGGAAGCAGCGGTGGTGGCTTTTCTTTTATGCAGCAGGTTTGCGTGAGGGTGATAGAGGGAGAATACAGTTTTTGCTCCCGTGCGTTTTGTGAAAAAATCTGAAGCTGGCCAGCACCCTATACACTTTCACCAACACTTAGATAGTTGGCGCGTTTAGGCTACGCCGACACTTATTTTGTCCAAAAACGTTTGCCGACAGTTTGATTGTCTAAAGAGAAACGCCGACAGTTAATTTGTTGCCATACAACATCATTGCCGACAGATTACGTGACATCGAAAGGTTGTACAATTGCCGACAGATAATGTGTAGCTGAAACCAAGGATTTGCCAACAGATAACTGTAGGCAATTGTCTGTCATGGTGTAGTGTGTGTACAAGTTTTGTCTTCAACCGCTTTGTCTATGATAGATTTTGGGGGCCTGGATTTTGACAGTTAGGGTCCGGGTTACTCGAGCAAAACAAACGTCAGAAAATGAATTGAAAAAGAATTACTCCCTCTGTTCAAAATATTGGTCGTTTTAGTTTTTTTTCCTAAATCAAACCTCTTAAACCAAAATATGTTAACATCTATACAATACGAAATAAGTTCACTATCGAAACATATTACATGGTAGGTTTAATGAAAACTGATTTGGTGTTGTTAGTTAACGTTGATGTAATTTCTATGAACTTGGTTAAATTTAAATCAATTTTACTTAACAAAACTAAAATTACGTACTTTTTGGACCAGAGACGGTCAGATGGTAGCTTTTAAAATCACTTCATATTCTTTTTCTATTTTTTGATTTTTTTAGAATTTCATGTTCTTTTTTGTTGAGAAATCAAACCTAATCAGTTCACATGGCTCATGATGTTGAACCCAGCTCATTTAAAGCCTAGGCCCATCCGGTTATCCATCGACTTGTTTTGCTTCCCCTCCCCCCCCTTGACGTGAGATAGGAGGAGCTTTGATTTTTTTTTTCTAAAATAATATTATTATTATATTTAATTGTAGATCTAGAAGCTGTAATAGTAAAATTGTAGATTTAAGAAGCCAATCGGCTGTCCAAAAGCGAACAGTAAACTAATTGGCTAACTAGCGGCCGATAGAAGCCCATTGGCGTTTGGATTACCGACATGAGCGCTATTGGCACCGATACACATATCGGCATCTGAGGGTCCTCTCTTGTTTTCTTTTTCCTTTTTTATATGATAGCTTTTTATTGATTTA